TTTACATCAACTGCTGGTCCCTGTAAACTGGATTTTTCTTATGCCCATAAGCCAGTAGGGCAGGTAGTATGCATTCTGTTTGGTAGATAGAGAAATGGCAGGCCAGGGAGGCTCAGGAGGCTGCCCAAAGTCCCCGGGGCAAATCCAGAGATGGGACCAGGTCATAAAGCAACTCTCCCAGGTTTCCAGTCTCGCGTTTGGCCCCCTCTGTCTTCCTTTAGGAAGTTGTCAGCACCAGGAACAAGCAAACACATCATTAATTTCAAACAGGAATTGGACCTATTTCGTAATTTTGGTGTTTTTGTTTGGTTTGGTTTTAGCATAGAGTGTGTACAGTTGCCAGATAGAGACAGAGAGAGAGAGCAAAGGGAGGGAGAAAGTGAGAAATCACAGCCCCAGCAAGGATGGCCACACCGCAATTCCTTCTCCTCCATTCTCCCATTCTTCTCTTGGGATTTTTGGGCACACACACACACATGCACTTGGTAGGTTTCTCAAGCCTCCAGGTTCGGGATTTAAATCGCAGAGTTGGCTGTTGGGATCCAGCTGTCTTAACCTTTATAACACTTGCTCTCCTTCAACTTTTTAAAAATCTTTCTGAGGCTTAAGTATTTCATGGACTCTCCACACATTCTTTTGGATATGGAGATGGAAGGAAAAGTGCAAGGCGTGGTGGGTGGTGGCTTAGAACAGGCCTGGGGAGTTAGACTGCCCTGAAAACCGCTCTCTGATATTTAGCCTGTGGCCCTGAGAACTCACCTTACTTTCTCTTCTGAACTCCAGTTGCCTTCTTTGTAACAAGACAATAACAGCTTCAGGGCCTAGCAAAAATGGCTGACACAGAGTGGAGGTACAATAGATGTTTGGGGAAAGAATGAATATTCTCACTGGGTTACTGTGAAGATGAAATGAGACAACGAAAGTCAAGTATTTCTCGTAGAATGTAGTATTTAGTAGTCACTCAATAAAAGTAGCTTACCAGGACCAACAGATGTCATAATGGTTACGTCACTGGACTCCCACATAGTATGCGTGTGCATGCGTGCCCAAAATCCTGACTGCAGAATGGAAGAGAAGGGATTGTGGCATGGCCATCTCCCCTAGGAGGTAATTTCTTGCTTTCTGTCTCTCTGGCAAATTCACATGTCCTATAACAAAAATCTCTCTTAAAAAATGTGATTTGTCGGGAACCAGCAGTTAGCGTAATGGCTATGTCGTTGGACTCCCATGTAGTCAACCGTGGTTCGTATCCCAGACCAGGTGGCTTAAAAACTCACGCCAGGTGCGTGTGCATGCGTACCCAAGATCCCAAGAGGAGAACGGAGGAGAAGGGATTGTGATGTGGCCATCCCCCCTCAGAGGTGATTTCTCGCTTTTTATCTCTCTGTCTGTCTGGCCAGCGCATGTGCCCTATAGCAAAAACCTCTAAAAAATGTAATTTGTCAATTATTTGGTCCTTACTAGTACTTAGAAATGAATACATGAATGTAAAATGCCACAGTGAGCTAGGAATAAAAAAAACCTGAATTTGAATCTCAATCCCATCATTTAATGTGGAAAAAAGGATTGGCTCTAGGATAAAGAGAATCATGTGTGAGGTCTGGCTCTGCCGTGGAGTAGCTGTGGGACTTTAGAGAAGTAGCTTTATTTTCCTGACCTTGAAGTTCCTCATATGCAAAGTATTAATAAGCAGAATAGATCATTAGGATTCCTTTTTTGAGCTCTCACAGCCTCTAAGAGGTAGTTTCATACCCTTTTCTTACATCCTTTACCACAATTTGCTCTTCTCTGGGGCAGGTAGGCCCAGGGGGGTGCAGATCCCATGCCCCTCCAGCCTCTCTATTGAGGGCCCATCCAGGCTTGTTGAGCGTGACTCCGACTGCTGCGCAGTATGAACCGGCCACACAGAGCCCTGGTACCCTCACAAGTTGTTTGGAGGTTCATCTCCCATCTCCAATTACAAAAATAATGATCGACAATGACAATTATGTTCCCTATTAAAGAGCCCATACAGGATCTAATGTGAATAATCTCTTCAAGAAATATTTATTAAGAAATAAAATTAGGGGCCAGCAGGTGGCTGGTGGTGGTTAAGGCCCTGGAGTCCCACGTGGTCAACCACAGTTTTAGTCCAAGACCTGGCGACATAAAAATCATGCCAGGCTGTGTGTATGGGTGCCCCCAAATCCCGAGGATATAAGAGAAGTGATCTCAGTGTGGGCAACTCCTCAGGAGGGGTGATTTCTCACTTTACCTCTGTCTCTTTCTAGGGTGAGCGTAGGTACCCTACGGCAAAAACCTTAAAGATAAATAAATAAAATAAAATAAAATAAATAAAAAACAGTACATTCCAGGGGCAGTAGTATACCTTGTGGTAAAGGGTATATAAAGTTGGGACCAGCAGATGGCATAATGGTTACATCACTAAACTCCCATGTAGTCTACTGAGGTTCAAGTCCTGGACCAGGGCGCTTAAGTTCATGCTCACAGGGGTATGGGCATGCACACGTATCCAAGATCCCAAGAGAATAGTGAAGAAGGGATTGCAGTGTGGCCACCCGCAACCCCCCCCCGCCGGGGGTGTTCTTGCTTTGTGTCTCTCTAGTGAGCACGGGCACCCTATAGCAAAAATCTCTCTTAAAAAAAAGTATATAAAGTTGACCCTTGCACCACTGGAGTTTGAACCAAATGGGTCCGCTTATGCATGGATTTTTTCTCCCAACAAACATATTGGAAAATAGAGAGTACTGTAAATGTACTTTTTATGACTTATTTTTCCTTTTTAGAGATTTTTGCTATAGGGCATATGGGCTTGCCAGAGACAGAGAGAAACAGGGAAATTACCCCATGGGGGTATGGCCATACCTCAATCCCTTGTCCTCCATTCTCCTCCTGGGATTTTGGGTACGCAGGCACATACGCTTGGTGTGTCTCAAGCCACCAGGTCTAGGACTGGAACGACGGTCAGCCACATGGGAGACCAGCACCTTAACCTCTATGCCACATGCTGGCTCCGTCCTTATGATTTTCTTAGTAACACTTTCTTGGGTCAGTCCCATGGCCTAATAATTAAGGGAGCTGGATCCCACAGGGCCATGCTAGATGCATGTGAATGCATGCCCCGAATCCACCCAGGATGGAGAAATGAAGAATAAGGTTCGGGTGTAAAAACACCTATTGGAGGTTACTTTCCCCCTATCCCTGGTGCAGGTAAGTGCCCTCTCGCAAATTACAAAAAAAAAGTAATCTTTTCTCTAGCGTATTTTATTGTAAGAATACATACAGTATACAATACAAGTATCATACAAGATATGTATTATGTTATTTGTAAAGATTTTTGTCAGTAGTAGGCTATTAGTAAAGCTTCAGAGAGTCCAAAGTTGTAACTGAGGGCTGTCCCCATAGCTCAGGAAAAGAGGCAGGGCCAGAGCCAGGATAAAATCTCAGATCCCCGAAGCCCCAATCAGGTATTGGCTCAACTCCGCCCAAAGCAATTCTTTAGGAAAAAAAAGAAATCCACTTGAAAGACAAGACATTTCCTGCCCATAAATATTCGCTTTGGGGGAAGGCGGAGGGCCGGTGGGGTCGGGACTATTGTAATTGCATTCCCACTTCCTAGGCTCCCACTGGCCTCAAAGGTAGGGGGTCGCTTTCCGGCCCAAGTCGAACACATCTCTGAGCAGTTTCTAAGTCAGTCCCAGGCTACTCCCGGCAGGGAGGAGCGGAGCACAGTCCGCGGAGGTGAGCAAAGCTCACCCAAGGTCACCCAGGCGGGGCCTAGAGGGGCCAAAGCCACCGGGCACCGGAGAGGGGACGGGGTTCACCCGTTCTCGGGGCGGACCCAGACCTCTCCTTCGGCATCTTGGAAGTCAGGTGACATTAATGGCTCCTTCCCCCGAATCTGGCGCCCAACCTAAAGAGCACAAGCAGGCCCAGCCGGCCGCGTGGCCGGTTCCCATGTGCTCCACCTGCGGCAGCTCTCACGCGCTGGCCCTTTAAGACTCCTCCTCCTCTGCGCCACCCCCAGTCTCTCCGGCCCTCTTTGGTACCCCCCCTCCACCCGAATTGCATCAGGCACGTGCTCGCCCCCGTCCGGTCTGAGCAGCCCCACCCCCGACCGGGAGGTGCTCAGAGGACTCAGAGGC